GAGGCACTCAGATAACTAGGTATCATGGTCAACAAGGATGGCGTGTGGCCAGGAATGGGCCACAACTTAATTGCCAAAACAATAACTCGCTTGGGCCCATGCAAGAACGCACAGGCATCGCTGATCGGGAGGGCACTAATTATAAACACAACTATCTTCTCCACAGTATGGTACATCGTATCCATCTGGTCCCCCCCAGACGTCGACTTCCAAACCATAAAGGCTGGAGCAAGATGCTATCTATGGACAGGGGACCCCAACCGAACCTCATGCATCGATAGGGTAGCATGGAGCCACATCATCAGGAAACCACAGGAGGGAGGCCTAGGGCTAATGGACCCCAAGCAGGAATCAACAGCACTACAGATGAAATGGATCATCAAGATCCTGACCAGACAATACCTACCATGGACCAAGATGGCTCTAGACAGCATAAGAAACCGAGCACCGATAAGCTCCCCACCAAACATGAGCGGCTACTTCTGGATTATGGCAAAGGAATGGACAATAAGATCAGGCAGATCCCGCAGAAGCACCACACGAAACTCAGACAACCAGGCAGCCCCTACACCCAACCCGTACTGGACCCCGACCCTGAAAGCCTGGCGATGTATGATGCCAAGCAAACATGGCACAGCGGATAACTGCAGTAACCCGTGTTCTGCAGTAGTCTGGTCCTCGAACGGAGCCCAGATTACACAGGCCAAACTCGGCCTGTGCCAGGCAGTGTGACCAAGCACTGCTCGGGAAAGTCACAAGTCTAAGTCAACTGTCAAAGGTACCACACCCAGGCCCTTGGTTGGATACACTCACTTGTTGTACGCAGGTACCCAGACAGCATCAAGGCCACAGGGAGTTCAGTTTCAGGCCTATCTGGGCCGTCATTTGCTTTGAGATCTCGACGGCCAAGGGAAGCAGCAACTGGTGTCCAGACCCCGCATCAATGCTACATAAGCCTGAACCTCCTGGCTTGGAGATCATTCGGTCTTGCGTCAATGCTGACTTCACGCGTTGACTACGACGCTAGCGCAAAGCTGCGACGCTGGCTGGACACTGGCTCTACGCTAGCACTTGGACGACTATGGCGACGCGCTGCTGGCTCGACATGGTGGCTGGCTGGCAATTGTCTTCTGGGCATGCTGACGTGGCAGCTGCCGCGCGCCGCCGCTGACGTGGCCGCTGCCACGTAGACTGTTGCTGACATGGCAAGGCTACGTGACTGGTATTGCTGTTCTGATTCATCGTCACTCGGGAGGAGATCATAACTGTGGGGCGATTGTAGATACGTACCTGGTTTTCTCGACGTCAACATTGCTCCATTTCGCTGATGAGGACAGATTGACGTGCCACGTGGCACATTGTGATAGAACTTCAGATTCGCGTTCAGACTATTGATTATTGAGGTGGCGATCGAGGAGGGAGCCCGTGGCTGAAGTGGGCATTGTCTTCTTTCTCCACTCTAAGTCTATTCTCTCTCCTCTCTCTCCTTCATCTGTGTATGTCTTCCCATCTCATTCTATCTGGATATGATTATGATTATTGACAATCATCAGCAGGTTGACATCTATCTGGGTTGTATTGTTGACAAGTGTCTTCACGATCTGGGTTCATTGCATAACGAAGAAGAGGCCTGAGAAAACTGCTGTTTTGCAATGATTGGATCAAGGACCCTGAGGGTAGTCCCTGGTCACTAAGCAGGAAGGACCGAAGATGGTTGTCGTGGGTTGAAAAAGGGGTGTGGCAGGTAAAGCACCTCTGGGCAGAAGAACGGGGGGAATGGCGAACGGAACAAGAACTCTGGAACACCCTAAAAGGATGTCATGCTCTCGCAGACAACCTAAGAAAAATCCAGAAGAGCATCCCATCCCATTGTGTGGCATACTGCACGGGCCCTGCAGGGCCCGTCCTGGACATTCAGCCTAAAAGCCTAAAACTTAGGGCTTACAGGCCCCGGTCGTTTCAGCCTGGATGCTGAAAAACGAGGGCCTGCAGGCCCTACCCCGTTTCAGCCTATTTCTGGGTCTTTTCAGACCCAGAGTTTTCAGCCTGAAACGGAGGGCCATTTTCAGGCCCTCATTGTTTCGACCTGCCCCTAAGACTCAGGCACGGAAACAGGGATGCGGAACA